ATACCTAGTAATGGAATAGCTGGGTCAAATGGTATTTCTAGTTCCAGCTTTTGAAGGAATCGCCATACTGCTTTCCACAATGGTTGTACCATTTTATAGTCCCACCAGCAGTGTATGAGAGTCCCAATCTCTCCACATCCTTGCCAGCATTTATTTTCTGTCTCATTGAACTTGTTTTTTCTGTTATTGTTATTCTGTTATTGTTATTTTCTGTCTCATTGGTAGGAGGAAATAAACAAAAAACCCAAACTCACTGCCATCAAGTCCATTTGACTCATAGCGACCCTCTTTGGGTTCCAAAGCGGTAAATCATTTTGGAAGTAGATTGCTCAGTCTGCCTTCCGCAGAGTGGCTTGAGGGTTTGGACCGCCAACTTTCTGGTTAGCAGTCAAATTAAAAACTGGATTGGGAATGAGTAGGATAAGGAATGAATTCCATTCCTAAATCTGTCTCTAAATCTAATTTGTACGTCAATCAAACAGGTATGAGTTGGTGTCTAATGTCAATTATTCAAATGCTTGTCTTCATGTCTGTAGTATATAGTGTACCTTTTTATGCATAAAAATGTTTATGAAAAATTTCCAGATACTCTAAAATATCTTTAATATAATAATACAATAATAATAATGTTTTGATGCATGTGGCAAAGTAGCTACCTATTTGTCATTAAAAATCATTTCATGTACCTTGAATTTTTAATGTAATAGGCTTTATATAGATTGGTTGTAACCATGAGTTGGAAGTCAGATGTTCCTAATACAGTGACTGCTTATGATGAACAAGTAGAACCAAAGTTTAATTCGTGAATGTTGAAATATATTTTTAAAAGGTTTTGAGAGCTTGATGACTAATTGGATTGTTGTTATTGCTGTTATGTGCCGTGGAGCTGGATCAACTCATAGCGACCCCTCCTTGGGTTTCCGAGGCAGAATCACTACGGAAGTAGGTTGCCCAACCTTCCTTCCAAGGAGTGGCTGGTGGGTTTGAACCACCAGCCTCCTGGTTAGCAGTCAAGTGCCTTAGGCATTACACCACCAGAGCACCTACTTAGACACTTTATATTTCATGATAACAGAATGTGAATATTCACATTGACCTTCAGGAGTAAGCAGACACTCCAACAGGTAACAGGATCTAAAGAGCAGCGTTGTGTGTTTGCCTTTCCAGCTACTATGAGGCCTCGCTCAGATAACCACAGTATAGAATGAGACATGCATCTGTCCATTTTTGAAAGTCATGGGACAAAATAACATTACTACACCATTTCAGGAATTATTTACTGCAGAATGAAAATAGAATTTAGTTGTAATAATTACCATTTTCTGAGAACTTACAGTGTGCCAGGCACTTTACCAGAGAGTATAAAAAGATGTTTCAATCTTCAAAAATGATTACCTCATGAATCTCCAATTTTTTGGAAAGGAAATATAATGCTGGAGTCCTGCATTGAACCATTTCGCAGAGAGGGAAACTGAGTCCCTATGAGTTCTCTAAAAGGGTCAAACAGCTGCTTAGTGAAAGAGAGGTTAAAACCCAGCTCTCAAATCCCAGTCAGGTATTCTTTATACCATGCCAAGAAGCCTTAACACAACAAGGCTAAATAAACAACGTAGTCCCACCGAGAGCTCCCTAATATCGCAGGGCATCACTTGACAATGACTGTGGTCATATTGAGGAGCCCTGGTGGCACAGTAGTTAAGCTCTCAGCTGAAAACTGAAAGATTGATGGTTCAAACCCACCAGCTGCTCTGGTGGAGAAAAATGTGGCAGTCTGTTTCCATAAAGATTGTTGTTGTTGCTATGTGCCGTCAAGTCGGACCCGACTCATAGCGACCGCTCCTTGGGTTTCTGAGGCAGTGTCACTACGGAAGTA